AAAAATTCTATGAAACCCTATTTTGCAATATAAAAATATATCTATATCTATATACATATATTTTTCCATTGAAATATATATGTGGCAAATTGTTTATTATTCAAACTTTCTTTTGTCAGTTTTTAAAGAGATTTACATACCCTAGCAAGAAGAAAAAGAAAGGAAAATAATAATAATGAAGTTGAGAAAAAAAATTTTAAGCAAATTAGCAATAAAATATATATACATATATATATGTTGTATATGTAGAAATTGATACAAAGGCCAAGTGCGTAAAGAACGTTAAAATGTTGACGAGTGCATACCATAAAGAAAAAAACTGTTTACAATTAATTTAAATAAATACAAAAAACGAAAAAAAAATAATAATAATAATGAAATGAACAAGAAGAGTATAATAACAATAACTAAAATAAAAAAAAACTGATATTTAATACAATTCTCGCAGTCTATCATTTTTATAACCTAAATACCTTGTAATATGTTAATGTACAGACTAGGCCACACACAACCTACGATCATCGATCACCGATCATAGCTTACTCTTTGTGTTTGCCAAATGCCTATACATATACCATGTATATAGAAATACTACATATTGTATTATTATGTAATATTTACTCTCATTCGCATTGTGTTTCATGTGATTTGATGTGCGCGCTCTATTGACTACTTGAATGTTCAGTGTTTAATGGGCTAATATTGCTATTAAACTTTTTTTTTTTATTTCTTATCAATTATCTCTCTCCTCTCTGGCTATGTTATACATTTTATATATACCGTAACTAAATCTAGGACTACATTGCGCTCTGTCAGGAGATCTTGAGTCGTCCCGATCCTGAGGCCGAGGCAGAGGCTGAGTAGTTTGCCAATTAATGCTGTTGTGCTCTTCTCACTCATATCGCTAGCTAAATGACGATCTGCTACTACTAATGCCATTTCACTTTAACCATCAGGCTAAGCAAGTGCCAATGATGGACAAAAGCTAGCTGCTAATACATGCGCTTGACTCACAGATTTGGTTTAACTTACATTTTGTCTGCTTTCTCTACATACATATATACGCACACATATTTACTTTGCAACTGTCTTTTTTTTTCTTTCATTGAAAGCTCTTTAAATATTTTGTTTGCGAATGTAAAAGATGACTTGATAAAAAAACAAAAAAAAAAAAAAAATAGAAGAAAATTTAATAAAATCAAGCACAAATCGCCTTTTTTATTGTAAGTTACACAATACTTTTACATTACTTACATTAAATACAAATGTGTATGTAAATGCACACATATGTACAGACTTACACACACTTAGCTCTTAGCACAAGCACTCACTCACCCATACTCTCACAAGCACACACTCAGCCGAGCCATACGTACTTACGCACACACTCTCCTTATCAACTGCACTGCACACTGTATGAGTGTGTCAATATGCACGGGCTGTTTGGGTTGAATACGTAAGGTCGACGACCATATGTACACACACACAGTCACACCTATACACCTACACAATAAAGTTGTGCCGTTCCTTAAGATCCTCATGATTTCATTGCGAATTGGCATTAAAACGAAATCAGAAAAAAGAAATGACAAAATCAAAAAGACTGCAAATGGCCCATTTTGTATGCAAGACAAAGACAACAAATTACGTTCTCATGCACATACATACATAATACAATGTACATACATAATGTACGATATTTATTTTACTCCCAATTCACAATTTCGATATAGTAATATATAGATATGTATATACATATGTACATACATACATAGTTCTTCKTATTACTTCTGCTTTCTTGATTACTTTCGTTTTACGTTTTATTTTTCTCTCTTTCATTGTGTCTTTCTTTCTTTGTATCTTTGTTCTTGTTGCGCGCAAATTGGTGACTAAACTCTGGCAACTCTTCGCATATACCGATTCGAACTCGGAACTTCGAACTATACCCAATGGGGGCCGCGCGCGCGCTTGCACTCGATTGCTCTCTCTCTCACTCGTATTGAAATTGGCGGCAACAGCAGCGCGGTCAGCCACCAAAGGACGAAGAGCCTGAAAATAATGCCATCGATACGATTCCAAAGCGCATCTAAAAGTGCAGCACTACAGCGGCCGTTACAAGAAAAATCCCACACAAACACATACACAGACTACATATACACTAATACACACATATATATACATATAGACACAAGCAGAAGCAACAGCTATAGCAACGCCGTTGAGGAATGTCATCCCCGCCCGCCCCTCTAAGAAAGGACCAACTATACAATCCGTGGCTTGTGCAAAAAACTGAAGTTTCGGCGTCAAAAAGCAGCTACAACACACACACACACACACACATTATCACACAGAGACTGGGACACACACAACAAATACACATACTGACACACGACTTAAAGAAGCAAATGAAAACTCAGCTTTGGCAGCCCTGGTACGTGCACGCATTGGGCGCATACGATTCAATTTTATTCTTTGCATTTTATTTACTAAGTGAGCGGCTAAAATCTAGCATAGATTTAAATATTTAGTCAAGTGCCCAATTGATCCCCATCTACCTAGCACCTGTACACACACACACACACGCAGTCCCCTATTAGCAGAGCGAAATGACAGATTGATTAGCAATTGAGGCGTTAGGCGCGTTTACTATTGTTTTTGTCGTTAAGTTAACAGTTTGATGCGCTTGTCAAATGATCGCGTTAAATGGGAATGGCGGGAGAGTTGCCAGCTTGATATGCGATGCGCGACAGATTGGTGTGATTGATCGATAAATCTATTAAGCACTTTATTAATTTATCGAGTGGCCTTGCCGCGAGGTGCTGCCAGCCCGGCAACGTGGCGTTGCCACCACACTTTTTCATTTAATTTCAAAACTTGTTAGCTTGAGCAGAATCATTAGAAAATGTGCCTAAAAGGGAACCGCAGAGCCAGAAACCGTTACAGTAACAACCCAACAGCAGCAGCAACAACAACAACAACTAAGTGAGCCGAACTGTCGAAAAGTCGAAGTCGTTTCGCATTTCGATATCTGAGAGTGCATACGTATATAAGTATATAGAGAAATACATATGTACACAATAAAAACAAAAATATAAATATACCGTTAGCTTATTTATATACAATTTAAAGAATTAAACAAAACAAATATTTTATGTATTTTTTTAATGTATTTAAGATAATTAAGATTACTCGTAATGCAGTAACTGAAAACTGAATCGTACTAAATATATGTACATGTATACAAACAAACAAACACACATATATATACACACATATATATGCGAATCGGTAAAAGTGCAATGCGAAGTGCTCCAAAAAATAAAGAAAAAAAAACTAAGAAAGTAAAGCCTGAACAAACTGAAATCTGAATGCGCAAGGAATATGAAATTCGCAAAACAAAAACAAGAACAGAAAATAAAAGAATAAATATTTAAAAACAAAACAGACCTAACAACAATTTTTGAGATATCATTGAGAATTTTCTCGTACTTTACAGATAAGATAGAAGAGGTTTGTATGCAATGATTTCTTTGCTGGGCTAAGTGGAAATGAAAAAGTTTGTATAAATAGTTTTTGTATTTATTTTTATTTTTAAATAAATTATAAGGTTCTTCTTAAAATCGAAGAATCCATTATTATTATTAATTTTCTATTATGTTTTCTTGCATTTATTTTTGCTCTGCCTGAATTTCAATTAAACAATGTTATCCTCTTTATATTCTTTTTCTAATTGCCCCGCAGCACTCTTGCTTTTTGACCCGCTCATCATCTCACTGTCTCTAGCTCTAGTTACGCACTCTTATACATATAACATTTTCTCTCATACTTGTATTCATTTTTTATTGTTTTTTCATTCCTTTTTTTCTTTCTTTTTGTTTCTTAATAAGATTATAACTTGTAGGCTAACCTATTGATTTGTGATTCCTCATTATCAAAAAATATACAGTTATATATTGTGTGTGTGTGTTTCGTTTTTTGCTTATATCTTTTTTTCTTTTCACTGTTTACTATCGGCTATTGGCCTTATTTATGGGCTTCGAAGGAGGAACACACAACACACTGTCCTCTTTTTCTAAATGAATTCTCTTTTTCGTTTCTTCTCCCTTTTTCTATATCTCTCACTCGCTCTCCTGCTAAAGTGCTTTGCCAGGGCCGAAAGAAATACTTTAAGATCACATTAAAAATTAAGAAAAAAAAAAAAAAAAAATAGCTAAACAAATTTTGGGCTACTAGGAATTTAGCGTGAGGTTTAAGAAATTGCGAGCAAAAACTAGTTTCAGAATTCTTATTCTTCATCATTTCCGTATCTCCATTCCATTTTTTGCTTTGGGGTTTGCATTCCTATTGTTATTGTTGTTGCGGCTGTTGTGTTGTTGCTTGCGATTAAGTTCTCATTTTAATTGTTTAATCAGTCTGATTTACTTCTACTGCCAAAACTATTTATATATAATCCATTCCGGACAAGTTGCTCGACTCGAGGACGCCTTACAGCTCATCCTTGAGATCGTCGCCAGAGTCGCCCTCTGGTGGGGGAGCACCGCCTGTGCCCTGGTAGAGCTTGGCAATCACCGGTTGCACGATGGCCTCCAGATCCTTCTTCTGCTTCTTGTACTCCTCGGGATCGGCATCTGGGTTCTGTTCGAGCCACTTGATCGACTCATCGATGGCCGACTCCAGCTTGGTCTTCTCGTCCTCGCTGAGCTTGGCGCCCAATTTCTCCTTGTCGCCGATTTGGTTCTTCAGGCTGTACGCATACGATTCCAGCTCGTTGCGCGACTCGACGCGCTCCTTCAGCTTCTTGTCCTCATCGGCGAACTTCTCGGCATCGTGGATCATGCGATCGATGTCCTCGGGCGTCAGGCGGTTCTGGTCGTTCGTGATCACGATCTTCTCCTTGTTGCCGGTGCCCTTGTCCTCAGCGCTCACCTGCAGAATACCGTTGGCGTCGATCTCGAAGGAAACCTCGATCTGGGGAATGCCACGTGGCGCTGGGGGAATGCCAGTCAGATCGAATTTGCCCAGCAAATGGTTGTCCTTGGTCATGGGACGTTCGCCCTCGTACACCTGGATGGTGACAGTGTGCTGGTTGTCGGAGGCCGTGGAGAACACTTGCGACTTCTTGGTGGGGATGACTGTGTTGCGCGGAATCAGCTTGGTCATCACGCCGCCAACGGTCTCAATGCCCATGGTCAATGGATTGACATCGAGCAATACGATGGCATCGGTGTCCTGTTCGCCGGAGAGAACGCCAGCCTGAACGGCGGCACCGTAGGCAACGGCTTCATCGGGGTTGATGCCACGAGATGGTTCCTTGCCGCCAAAGAAGTCCTTAACGAGCTGCTGGACCTTGGGGATACGCGTAGAGCCGCCAACAAGCACAATCTCGTGCACGTCCTTCTTGTTCATGTCCGCATCCTCCAACACCTTCTGGACGGGCTTCAGAGTCGAACGGAACAGATCCAGATTCAGCTCCTCGAACTTGGCACGGGTCAGCGTCTCGGAGAAGTCATCACCCTCGAAGAAGGACTCAATTTCAATGCGGACTTGGTGGGAGCCGGAGAGGGCACGCTTAGCCTTCTCGACCTCACGACGCAGCTTCTGGACGGCACGATTGTCCTTGCGGATGTCCTTGCCCTTCTTCTTCTTGTACAACTTGATGAAGTGGTCCATGACACGCTGATCGAAGTCCTCTCCACCCAAGTGAGTGTCGCCGTTGGTGGCCACCACCTCGAAGACGCCGTTGTCGATGGTCAGCAGGGAGACATCGAAGGTACCGCCGCCCAAATCGAAGACCAGCACGTTCTTCTCGCCCTCCTTCTTGTCCAGGCCGTAGGCAATGGCAGCTGCGGTCGGTTCGTTGATGATGCGCATCACCTGCAGGCCGGCAATGACTCCAGCATCCTTTGTCGCCTGTCGCTGGGCATCGTTGAAGTAGGCGGGCACAGTGACGACGGCGTGGGTGACCTTCTTGCCCAGGTAGGCTTCGGCCGTCTCCTTCATTTTGCCGAGAACCATGGCAGAGATCTCCTCGGGGGCAAAGATCTTGGCGCCCTGGGATGTGTCAACGCTAATGTGTGGCTTGGAGTTCTTCTCGACCACCTTGAATGGGAAGAATTTGATATCGTGCTGCACATTTGTGTCCGACCATTCACGGCCGATCAAACGCTTCGCGTCGAAGACGGTGTTTTCTGGATTTGTGGTCAACTGATTCTTAGCGGCATCACCGATCAGACGCTCGCCATCAGCTGTGAAGGCGACGTAGGAAGGCGTGATGCGATTACCCTGATCGTTGGCAATAATCTCAACGCGTCCATTTTTGTAAACGCCAACGCTGCAAACGAAAAACAAAACTTTATTAATATCGAGTCTATTTTAATTATATGATCGAATAAGATTTATACAGCCCAATTAGAATACGATGTGCGACTCAAACAGTATTCAAATTGCTGTTTAAAATGACGTCCAATTGGGTTATATATTCTAGAAAACAATTTGAGTCCAATTGACTTGCAATTCCAATAGTATTCTAATTTTTTGGTATGTATTATTGAAATCCAATAAAATATTCTTTCCCAATCTGGCAACGCCCGAAGCGAAATGGCGCAAAACTTACCATGAGTATGTGGTTCCCAGGTCAATGCCAATAACGGTGCCCAGCTCCTTGTCCTTCTCTTTCTTTTCCTCGCCAAGCGACAGGCCTACAAAGGCCACAACAGCCAGTAATATGCACAACTTCATTGTGGCAGTTTTCTTCTAGTGTTTTATTAAGTATTATTAACTAGCTTTGATGCTGTCTGTGACACCAAACAAAAAAAACTGCAACGAGATTAAGAGAAAATTTATGATTAATTAAAGGAACACAAGCTTAGCTTAAGACATTTTTTTGTACACGTCAACACAAGCGTCAAGCGGGAGAGAGAGTTAAGCGAAAGAGAGCGCGTAGGCAGAACAAAAGAAACGCTGACGTTGGCAACAGGTTATACCGTTATGTGTGCTACTTTTGACAGTCATTGATTGAAGTAACAGCCTAACAGAATTTATGGCAGCGGCCCTAAAATATTTTATATGTGCTTCATATGAAGGCAAACCAACGCGTACCTAAAACTACCTGAAGATAGCAGCTGTGAACACAAAACGTCTGGCTCGACAGATAACCGTTTAACAACTGTTTAATGCTTCCCGGCGCGGCTCTTCTCAGCTCAGCTCACTTCGGCTCACTGACATTGATCGACGCCGCGGCTCTGCCAACGCTGCTGTAGAATTTTTGTATACGTGGTAACATTTTTCTGGTTCTTTCTGCTGCCGCCATAAGCTCAAACCCACACACTCTCACTCACACTCTCTCTTTCTCTCTACCTATCTACAATTCGCTCTCTTGTTGAGCACAAAATCAGTTGCCGGCTACATTCACATGAGTGTGCACGAGCTGAACAAAAAATAAAACTGGTTTTGCTTTTGCTGAACTTCTCTCTTCAGCTATTACTTTTTATAGAAATTTCTTATTGTCATCCTCGTCGAGTTCTGCATACGCAATAAGTGGCCCAATAACGAAACAAGAAAATCCAATTGCAATTGTATGGCAGCCCAAACAATTCACACATACACAGTCACATTCACACGCCCCGTCCGGTGAAAGTTGGGTCGAACGTCGGCGTCTTCTGCCGGCAGCGAACGCCATCAATTTGCACAGCTGTGTTAGTTTGGTTCGCTTTACTCACGTTTTATGTTTTCCCGAAAAACTATGTATAAACCAAGTCAGTAACCGCCCTTTATGCTTTTCTGACGACGTGTACTTTTGTTAGCTATGGAACTGAATAACGTATGTATGTAGCTTGGGGATCTTTGTTTTTTGAAATGACGTGTACAAAGCTGATTGAATGAGTGCCAGAGCTGCTAGAATGCAGAGACGTCTGGCAGCAGCAGCAGCAGCCACCGATAAGTYGGCGCAGGCGCATATCTATATATACTGCGCTATACTGTCTGTCTGTCTGTATGTGTATGTGTGTGTGAGTGTGAGTGTGTTTGTATTTAAATTGAGTTATTATTTTGATATTGCAATTATTTGTTATCGCCTTGATTTAAATCAAGTGCTGCCATGTCAGCAACGGAAGCAGATAATAATGCAGCGTGGTGGCAGCGCAAGAAGCTCACAGCTGTGTGGCCAAGTTCTAGAAATTGAAAATATTYCTCATATGCGTATGTATGTATATATGTATAGTACATACATAAGCATATTGCATATTGCAGCCGGCCGGTTCGAATGTGAATGAACTTTGTTACCAATTGGCAAATGAATGAGATGCTATGCTAATTTCTGCTACGGTCCATTCAACAATATACATATGTATGTTAATTATGCACGCCTTGACATCGGCCAGTGCTTCGCGGTACACGTCATGCGAGGGGGCGCCAAGGGGGCCTGGGAGTTGGCCCCACTCTGTGACGTCGTTAAACTCAGACACACAATATATTAATATTAAATGTTATCTTGCACGCATGCCGGTGCACCCACTACATGTGCTTCGCCTATACTCTTGAATTTTGTTCCCTAAAATCAGACAATTTTGGAGCCACATTGCCAACATGGCGACTTCGGCAACAACCCCACACATGGGGATTAGCGTTGCCTATATCAATGCCTTTAAATTTCATTTTTATTCTTTTAAATGAGTCCGGTGGGAAAAACCTTGATAGCTTGCATTCGATTGAATGCTTAATGAGGTTTTATTTAATTTACCACTTGAAATTTGACTTATTAAAAGCTTACTTTTTCCTTTTTTTAAATTTGCTCTCTTGACGTTTGAAACAGTACTGAAAGAATATTGCTGAATGCTTTCGGCCGGCGCTTTCATTTCGGTCGCACACGCACACACACACACATGCGACGGTGTACAAAGACACGTCAGTGTTAACTTTGCTGCAGAGTTGCAAAGCTCTAGGCACTTAAAATGTTATCGATTGTTAGCTTTCAAACTGATTTTTAAATACTTACTTTTTCTAACTTAAACTAATTTTGAGCACTTCATAAAAAATTAACTTATTTAAATATAAGTATTTTGTCACTTTGATGCTTTGTCTTTCTTTTTTGGCTTCGATTATTAATTATTTTTGTACACGGTTTCACAGTCACAGAATTTGTTTATATATAAGAATATTTAAAAAAAAAGTATATTCCTCTTGTTGCTTGTACGTAGTGTATTTTGTATTCCAACGGAATGGCGTATTTCTATATACCGATTTGTTACTTCTTTGCTGTCTGTTTGGAAACTGTTGGTTGCTCTCTGAAATGCCGGGCTATTTATTTGCCCGCGTTGTTTACGCTCTGACGTGTCGACCACGTCAGCGTCTGGTGCAATTCTGATTGGTGTTTCGTTAGACTGACCGCAATCTCTGATTGGCCCGCGCTGAAAAGAGAGAATGTGTAGTCAAAAGCTTTACTCTGCTTTGCTTAGTTGTTTTTTGTTTGTTGCGCTCATTTCGTCATTATCAAGGCTGATGACGCCGACCGAAAGAGCGCGAACTCTCATTTACTCTCTCTCTCTCTCTCGCTGCATTTTCAAATACATGTTGCTCTGGTGAAAATTCATGTTTTGTTTTCTTTTTTGGCAAACAGTGACGTGTACTTGGCGCAATGGTTTGAATCGCAGGTCCATCCAGCATATGCTCGCATGCATTCTGTATGAAACACCATAACGTACCGTCAGTCGAGATGAATCTCGAAATTTCATGACGGCAGATAAGCAAAAGAAACGCCCATATTTTGTTTTAATTAGTTTTATGAATGTTTAATGACACACAATCGATATCAATATCTTTTTTTCCATTTTGTTTTGGTTTTTTTTTTGTTTTTTTTGTTTTTGTTTTTTCATTTTATAATTTTTTTCATAACAATAATAGCATTTAATAATCGTCCAACATACAATTGAGTTTTACCAAAAGTTGACTTCAACTTTTCGTGCTATATGTCAATTGAATTGAATATTAACAATTTGTTTACACTGACTAAATGGGACGAAGGGTGGAGGGGCCTGGGGGAGATAAAAGTTCGCTAAGCTTCTGAGATTGGGTTTATCATCTGGCCAATCTAAGCCAGACTCAATGGACTATTTAGCTTGCGATATCTTTATACATACATAGATACATATATATACATATAAAGGCAACTAGGCAAAATTGTGACGTTATTTATAGTTTGCATTAAAAAATGAGTTACAAAACAATCTTATATGGCATAGGGGTATTATTAATAAATTTTCAAAAATAATTAAAAGTAAAAAAACAAATTAGCGCATTTCGCTATATAAATATTTAAATTACAATTGTTGCTGTTTCTCATTTTCTCTCTTCATTTTCATTTTTCTTCCTTTTCTTTATATATATATTATTATTTTTTTGTAAAAGCTAAGTTTTGGTCAAAAAACTGAGCTAATCTCATTCAAAAAGTTGAGTTAAATTAAAGGGAAAGAGAGAGAGACAAAAAACAAATCATGAGAAGCACATCGAAAAAACAGTTAGACGAGTACAGTTAGTGATAAAAGTTAACAGCTAACCGTTTTACTGTTTTACATTTTGGACTTAAGTTCAGTGCATAAAAATTATGTTTTTTTTTTCTTCTTCTTGTTTCAAACTTTAAATTTTAATTCGAGTTTCGTTTTTGCTTTTCCTTTTAGTGGCTCGTGGTAAATTTTTTAAGTTTAAGATTTGGTGTTTTCTTCTTGAAATGTTTTGAAACGCTTTGAGTTGCCATAAAATTGTTGCAGTTGTTTTTGTTCTTGTTGTTGTTGTGGTAGTTATTGGTCCGAAACAATTGGTAAATAACTAGATTCTCATTGACTGGCTTTGCATTTGTAAATAGTTGTAGTAAATATA